GCTGTTGTCTGCACTCTTTCTCTCTCTTTCAGGTGGCTTGTCGGGTTTTGTCACAACTACGCAACTGAGGCTGTCTGCACAGCTGCGTAACCCGTATCGCCGTTACAATTTCACGGTTTTCTTAACGCCGTATTATGTATGTGTCCTTCTGTTACTGTTACCGTTACCCTTACCGTTACCTACGCGCTACACTTCATCCGTTCATTCACTTCTCTCTTTTTTTTTTCATCCTTTTGCATTGTTCCCAATAACCGTAATCTGCACAGATTTATAATTTTTTTCATGAAAAAAAAGTTAATGAACTATATTCATAATTTATTATTTGTTAAAAATTATAAATAAATCATTTAATTTCTTAGACCACACTTTATATTTAATGAATTTTATTTATATTTTTTATTTTTTAATAATTTTAGTCAAAGTCAATAATGAAAAATACATTATAGAAGATGTATTGGATTGAGATTTCGAAAGACATGAAAAGTCTTGTAAATTTTAATGAATTTTAAAAGACTTTATATGAATGTTATGATTTTTAGGTTAATGAATTTATGTTATAAGATTTTAAAGAATTTTATGAATTTCACAATAAAATATAGATTTGTAATACTACAAGATTTAATAAAAAAAATATACAATATAAATAATAAAGAAAAGTAAAATCAACATAATTTTTCTATCTTTTGACAAATAATTATTTTTATTTTTGACAAATAATTAACTTTAATGTCTTTCTAACTAACATTTTTTCACATATCTAAAGTCATACTAGCCTTGCATGCATTGACATATTCTCTTTCATGAATTTGAATCTGAACAATATGCTTAAAATTATGATCTTCATTAACAGGTAGTATTCAATTTAAAAATCATTAGAATGACATTTTTTTACTAAGAAAGTTATGTAATGTTACATGTTAATACAAGTTCAATTTGTGTCTTAAATAGAAATAGAAGTTCTGACTTAAAAATTGTGAATTGTAATTTAAAAATACTAAATATTTTATCAATCATATTCCTTAAGGATTCATGGGGTAAATTTAAATTTTTATTTTCATTTTGAGAGTCATTACAATGACTTGTAAGTTTTTTAATATATGTTTCAACATTTTTATATTTTAATATTAAATTTTATTAAAAATAAATAGTTAAATTTTAATAATTTAAAATTTTTTACAATAGATAATATTTAATAATACAAAAATTATTTCAAATATACAATTAAAAAATAAATATTGATAAATTATAGTCAACTGATAAATGAAAAAATAGGATAAAAAAATAAGAGAAGAAGAAGAATAATAATAATAATAATAATAATAAGAGATAAATGAGAGAGATGAATAAAAAGAGAAGGAGAAAGGGAAAAGAGATAAAGAACAAAGAGAGAAAGAAAGAGAAAGAAAAAGCGAGAAAGACGAGCCAAAAGGAAAGAAAAAAAAATACAGGAGATGAGAAGAAGAGATAAATCAGAGAATGCGAGAGAAGTAAGAAAGAAAGAGTAAAAATACAAACAAAAAAAATCATGTGAAAGTTTTGATGAAATTGTTTGATGAGTAAATTATATTTAAATTATATTAAAAAATCTTATAAAATCTAGTATTCAAAATATTCATTGAAATCTCTATATTTTTTTAATACCAAGATACCTTTAAAAAATCTTAATTAAATATCACCAAATTTTGACAAATTCTTCAAAAAATATCCTAATTATTTTAATTAAATACTACATGACTTTTTATATTAAAAAAGGTTTTGATTAAACATCACAAAAAAATTTTATAACAAAAATATTTTAAAATTCATTGAATTCTAATCCAAATTTATGTATAAATTAAACATGAACTTTAATTTTTAATTTTTAATAATCTTCTATATACTAAACACAAACTTTAATTTTGAGTGATGATATTTTTAGATACTTTTTTTTATAAGCAGGGTATTTTTAGAAAAAAATTATTTAAATTTAATATTTTAAAATAAGTTTCACAATTTTTTTTGAAAATTTTATCTCTAATTTAATTTTTATTTATCATATGTATCTATAAGTTAAATTTTAATAAATTATCAATAATTAAAATAATTTTATGTCACAATATTATTGTAAATATAAAATAAAATATATATATATATATTTAAAAATAATTA